TTGGATACCCCATCTCCATCTAGGGGAGCGTGGGAACCAACAATAGGGCCAGTAACGATTGCGCTGTGCCCTTCCTCTTCGTAATAATAATAATAATATAATAGTACTCAGTGGAGAGGAAGACGAGGGGCACGGTGCAACTTTCTATGGCATGACACTGTGCATACTCTTGGAGAGAGAGAGGTGTGATATGTCCGCAGCATATGTGTGGCTGAACTTTGTTCCTTCGTCGGAGACATGTGACTAAGAACTGCTGATTGCAAAATAGGAAAAATGACCAAAGGTCTGAAAGAAACTCCAAATTTTGCTACGTCATCATAAAAAGAGTGGCTGACTGCAACTGGCTGTAAAGGCTGTAAGAATTTTATTGTCTGTCAATATGAAAGAAAGAACAGAAGAAATTTTTGGCACTTACATACAAGGAAGAAATGGTTGGAGAAGTTCTGATTTGTGCAGACTACGAAATGGCAATTAATTCTCTGTGCGACCAACATAGAATTTACACGCAGTATGAAATGCAAGAAGATAGATGGGTGGCCAAGTTAAAGATGGCTAGTCATGTGTCAATTATTCCAGTTTTGACGATTCCATAAAATTGTGTCCAACTATGTAGGTTTCGTTGTAATTTAGTGCGTTTCAGAATGTTGAAACATAAAGAGCAGTGTGCCAGTATTAATAGTAAATTTGAGACTGAACTTCCATGCGCATATACTCACGCGCACCCGCACGCGCGCGCGCGCACACACACACACACACACAAAAAAACACCCCCCCTCCCCCTCCAAAACTTATTCCATTTTTTTTTCCTTTTTTCAGATGCATCTGCAAGTTAAATGGGAACTGAAAAATGAAAATGGAGATGATATTGTGTGTGCATTGATTCCTGTCAAGATCAAGTGACAATATGGCCATGAATGTTCAGAGGGGGGTCAGCACCAGACTCATCATCCATCCACTGATGGCGAATGTATTTCATTGATTCCAAAACTGTGTTCTCTAAGAATCAGACAAATGTAAGAATCTGTATGGTTCTCTTAAAATGTAATTTTATATTCAAATTAATAATTCTGAAACATGTGTCTGTTTTCAAGTAATCCCTGTCCCTACATGAGTACAGATATGAATTGTAGGGTTTTTTTTTATTATTGCTAGTGGGGTGGGACTAAGTCCCTTGTACTGCGGCCACTTCTGGCCTGTTGTACCAGCCCCAGATGACAGGTGAGTGTGATTGTGGAGCAATTGGTGGAATGAAGATTGGCAGGGGAAACCGAAGTACTAGAGAAAACCTGTCCCAGTGCCACTTTGTCCACCACAAATCCCACTTGACCTGACCTGGGATTGAACCCACGCCATCGCGGTGGGAAGCCAGCGACTAACCGCTTGAGCTATGGTGTGGCCCTGAATTGTAGGTTACTGTTCTCTTGATTGTGATGCCATGTAGTCCAGTGGAAGTTGAACATTTCAGATGAATATATTGCTTCCATCTCCCAGGTCAAGGCGTAAGCCAAGCAGCTGGCACTGATTCCTGGTTCTGCTTCCTTGATGCTGGTTGCTTGGCTTACTCTCGTACCCTGAAGTTGGAGACAGTATGTTCCTCCAAAATGCTGAACTTCTACCAGACTGCACAGGGTTACATCTGAGAAGACGGTAATCTTCACAGGAACTGCTGTGAAAACCTCAAATCCAACAAGAAGAGCTGTAATTCAAATACAGGGGGTTCTTGTTGTAAACGGATAATGAGGACCTAAAAATGACCACTGATGTTGAATCCAGTTGTAGCAAGGACCAAATTTCCATGAGAGTTAATGTAATTAAGGTTTAATTGGGACTGTGGGAGGAAATGACACTTATATGAAAGGGAAAAAGATATGAAATATTCCATATACATACAAAATATGAAGGAATGCTATTTGAATGTGTTAATGACACCAAAGGGGACATGTGGTAGCATAATTGGTTGAGTCACTATGCTACAAGCCAGAAGGTCACAGATTTGAGTTCAGATGAGGGTTTTTTTTTCAACTGACATAATCCATCCAGCTGCACTGTGGCCCTTGAGTTGACTCAGGCTCTACAGAAATGAGTACCAGGAATCTTCCTGGGGGTAGGGTGGCCGGCTTGTAAGGCTGACAACCTTACCGTCTTCTGTGAGCCAATTGTCTAAAGGAAATGTGGAATCCTTGACATCTCACAATCCTATTAGCCTTCATGGCCTTTTACAGGGATACTTTTACCTTTTTTTTTTTTTGCATCAAAAATGACACACATACCTATGGAGAAACATATATAGAAGGGCCATTTATATATTTTTGACCATAACGATCCTGTATCCATGTTCTTAGTCAACATTCCACAATTTCCATTGTGTTATTTTCTCTTTGTGCAAGTTTTACTTCAGAATGCCTCAGCATTGCCATATTCTTTTCTTCGTAATATTTAACATTCATAAAAAAGTATGATTTGTTAACTCTGGCAGACTAATTGCACCGGCAATGTCTGTTACTTGCTGACCACTACACTACTTACACTTAACTAATATCTATTTTAACATCCAGTCCATAGCTAATACACTAGTAGCTGCCTTTACAAATTCTTTTAAGATTTGCAGACATGGATACAACAATAATATGCAAAATAAAACATAAAGCACTGTAAACTCAAGTGAGACCATGATGTGGCTATGATGGACTTATAACAGGAACAAAGTGACTGTCAGTTGAGTGAGTAGTATGTAAGGGAAACAGTTTGGTACATGTTGCCATGGAAACCACGTAAGTGCAGGGAGTTTATACATGTATTTCTTCAATTTCTTGGCCTCAGAAGTGCAGGGGACTTGGCTAATGAAGACTTGTGTTGCGGGGACCACCTGCATGCAGCCTTTTGAGCTGTAACCCTACAGATTTTCAAACCTACTTATATCTCTGTAATGCAGGATCTTCCTGAGGAATTGGTAAGTTATTCATCTGATCAAGAAATCTACTTCCACCAGGGTCACAAGTGCCCACTATTGGATCCTATTTTGAATATGCTGAATCCAAATAAAGGGGCTGATACACATACGAGTCTGGCTTCTGAGTCTGGCTTGGTGAGCTTGACTTGGGAGCCGGGCTTGGATTAATTTCACCACAAACGCATGGGCCTAGGTCTTGTTCCTTGTTTCTTCAAGTGGTGGTGGTGGTGATTTTCTGTATTTTTAATGACTGCAACCTTGAGAGTGTGGATAACATCAGGTGCATCCGTATTCGCCACATCTTTGTCAGCAAGGAGGAAAAGTGAGTCAACTAATTCTAATTCTAGCTTAAAAGTCATAGTTCTAAATACTTTTCATTGATCACATTTTGGATGACCAATTTATGAAGGTACATGAAAGAAAGATAGACTGGTTCCTTATTTTGTTAACCTTGATGTAGCTATTCCTTGATATAGTAAGTATGCGAGCAATGCATGAATTTCTCCACTTAACTTATTAATATCTGGTATGAAATATAATACTTCATATTTAAACATGTATTTCATTGCAAATTAATAAATTTTGGGTTTGAAACTGAGTTAAATATATAGAATCTTACCTTGACTGCTTTCCTTCACTTTCTTTTTCACATCTCCACCTATCTCTGTCCAGATCTTTTGTATTGCATTATTTTCTTGAAAATACCTGCTCCTTGATAATCATATCTCATTGGGTATCTTTCCATGGCAGCAGCAAATCCAATGTTAGATTTATTGCTCTTCTTCATGGTGCAGGCTGCTACACAAGTAATCCCAACACTGGACTACAAACTACAGAGCCACGCACATTTCAGTTTCATCTTGCTGAATGGTTTACGTCTGAGTGGCATGCTGGACTCATACTTGGGAAGTGCTCAGTTTGAATTTCATCTGTCCAGTTGGTTGGCACACACAAAGAAAAAGTCCAGTGCAGGTCAATGTATGTTAAAATTTGAGAAGGTTCATAGCATTATTCTTTCATGGCGTCAGATTGCTCAGTTACAATGGCAGCTACACTATGACCTGGATGACCAAGGAATTGGATTTAGATTCCAGGCAGAGGCAAGACAGTTTGTCTTTTCAATAGCAACTAGACTGGCTCTTATTGAGTGGGTACCAGGAACTCCTCCGCATGGGTAAAGCACTGGGCTTTGAAGCTGACTCCTCATCTGCAGCTAGTGCCATGGTTAGAACGGAGAAACTATACATCCCTCCCCAGCTTATGTCCTCATGGTATGGTGCTTAATTAATCTTGATTAATCTAAATTAAACACAAATTTACCTTTGCCTTTATTTTTTTTTAATAATAATTCTGTTGGAAACTACAATTCTAGCTTTTTTTTTTCAAGGAATACAAGAATATGAATTTGTAAGACATCTGTTATACCAGTACTATCTTATAGCAATGACTCAATGACAGTAAGAGCTCTATGAGGGAAGACTGATATCAGCAGAGATGTAGTTTGTGAGGAGGACAGCAGGACATAAGTTTGCAGAATGTAAATGAAGTTACAAAATGATAAGAGGACTACAGATTAAAAAAATAACAGAATTTACAAAATGATACAGAAGAATTTATGAAAAACACATTGACAGGATTTGAAAAAGATATTTTGAACTGTCAACCAAAAGGAAATGTTCTTTGAGAAGACCCTATGAAATGATGGAAATTTCTGTTTTGTAATGTCCAGAAGAGGTCTCAGCAGGCCTCATATTAAATAGGATGACAGTGATGGTGGTGGTGGTGATGATGATGATAATGAAGTGCTGTGGCATTATGTAGTCTGATAGATATTCACTAACATTCCTCCAGAACATCTATAAACATCTATCAGGCTACATAGCGTCAAATCCTGGAGGACAGCAATCTTCATAAACACCACCATAAGAGCATCAAATATCACAAAAATTCTATTACTGCTGAATTTTTAAACCTTCCACGTTCTACAAAATGGCTAACTCTTACAGTAACGACATTTTGGTACTGGAAATTGACTTAAATATTTTGGTTTTTGGATGCATCCAAATCAGTTCACTCCAGTAAGTAATACAAGCAGACTGACTGAACAAAGCAGCAGTGTTTTTAATTTGTATTCAGGTGCATGGACAGAATCCAGATCACTGACTGGAGGCAAACCATTTGTTCCTGGTTTATTTACAAACCATTTCAATAGCTCAGATTATGTGGTACTGAATTAGTCAGTAATTGATTCGAAGAGGTGTTGATGGAAGTGGTCACGGTCTCATTTAAGGTATGGCCCTATAATTTGCTTGGCGAGACTAAGGAAACCCATCAACAACCTCAGTCGGAATAGCAATTCTGTAAACCAACATTTGAATCTGGGGCTTCCCAGGAAAGAAATGGGATTTTTATCCACTCAACCTACAATGCTCATAATCTTCAGAATTACTGGGATTTTGGAATTTTGTCCATTGTTTGGTATTCTAGAAACTAGAAAACACAACGTTTCAGACTCTTGATCTGTTTCCATCCTCAGGTGAGGGGGCAGAAGACACCTACTCTGGTATGTCCCATAGAAGGAGGTAACCTCAGTCATTGGACAACACCTGTCATATTCACTACACCTATTTAATCATCTGAGACCATGCTAATGTGGCAGGAGATAACAACATATGCAATAAAAATTGTGATAAAGTACGCACTTCCACAGAGATAGGTTTGCAGCATAAATTTCTACCTCCTTTTCTATCCTAGTAATTCTGAGTATTACATACCATTGTCAGAATCTTGACATGAAACTGATAGGACAATACCACAAAATAGGCCATGACAACTTCTTCATATCCCTCCTAATTCATTATCACCTATCAGTGTACAATATTTCGTGCACCTTTACATAACCTCAGCAGTTCATCCAGCAATCTAAAGTAACAAGGGGCAAAAATTTCCCCCTCTCTACAACATTGAGACCGGTTCTGGGGTCCAATGGGTATCAGGGGCTTTTTCCCTGAAGGTAAGAGGCTGAGGTGTGAGCTGACTACTCACCTCCAATTAGTGCAGAGGTAAAAAATACATGGAACTATGAGTATATATCCACTCCCCCATACATTGCCATGGTGTAGTGCTT